AGGCTCTTGAATTAAAGCATGTAAAAAGTTATTAAAGAAACAGTTAACTAAGCTGCTTAGTATTGTAAATCAAATAATGTGGTGCATTTTCGAAAGCAAATACTCTACTATGAAAAGGTACAGTCACTGAAGATCCTAGTTGTTGCAGTTTGAAGGTTGGAAATGGGTATCTGTGTCTTCTAGGGTAAATTCCATTCTAAGCAATACATATGTGATAGTTTAGGAATCAAGCAAATTATATTGTTTCTCTTGGTAAATTAAGGGGAGATGCACACTGATGAATTTGTTCATAACGAACAAGAAAAGAGGAGCAGTAACAAGATAATTGTCTGAACCTCAGTCTATCTGCCAAAGTTTCAAAGATATTCTAAAGGTTATGCTCTTAAATTTTATATGTTAAGTTATATGCAAACTAAAAGGACTGGAAACTGGCAATTCAGGCATCTCCAAGCTCATTTCCTATATGTACACTTGAAGAAAGAAAAAGAAGGGAAATTAAGCACTTGATGTTGATAATTGATGGAGAAAGTCTCCCAGTTTGCTGTTTGGACCAGTCAAAGATGAGAAGTTTACGATCACGTTAATCACAAAGCACAACAAATATATCTTGAATGCTAGCAAGTGACTAGTTCAGTAAAACAAGCCTCTGTTTATCACATTTTTTACTGATAACATCTCAGAGATGGCAAACTGTCAACTTCAATTTTGTCTTGTGGATATGTGCAAGAAAAATCTCATCTTCTTTGGTGATTTTGTACAATTTCATACCTGTATCACCAATTTGGTATTTGTGGAATGATGCAGAAATGGTCTTTACAACGTAGTTTTTAAACACATGCAAAAGTGTAATTTCAAATCCTTTCACTGAAATTTACCTACAGGATATACAACAATTAACTACACAGTTATATCATCCAGAATACTGTGGAAACTTTATCTGGTAACATGTACTAATCTGAAAGTAAAAACATATTTTCTTTTGAGTCCTGCCAGTACTCTTTTGCTTAGCAAATACATCACTGACAGACAGAAACAAGCACTTTTCACAATAAGTAAAAACAGATGCATTACTTAAGAAAGGAATGTGGGATTCAGAGGCAGAATCATCTCTTGCGTACTTCAAAATCCAACACTGTACAATATATTTGTCTTTATCCATTCTGTACAGATGGCTTTGGATGACAGTGTGTCAGAATATCTTTTTCTATTTGAGAAATGAACTTCAGTACAACAATAATTATAACCTTTCATTGATAATTACTTATAAAAAATTATAAGCATTCATTCTTGTATATATTAAAACATCTGATTTTGTTGTGCTTTAGGAAGAAACATATTTCAAAGTGACAAAGGGTTTTTGGCTTTCAGGATATCATGACAAGGGAAAACGAACCTCATTTCAGTGTATACAAAGATACTGCTTTTCTAACAGCAACGCATCCACCAGTCTGCTGGCATGGTTCAGAATGAAGTTCTAGTCTTAGGTTTAAATGTTGATTCCCAACATAGACTTTTATTTTCTAGTCTTTTGATCTGCTGATAAACTACAAATAAATTACCTATATTCCATTTGCTATAAGCAATTTGATCATACATTGTTTTCAGCTGTTGGCAACAGGAAAGACTAAGAAAAAAATTACCTATTGCTTTTACACTATTGCTTTGGACAGTCATATGTCCTGAGTAATAGTCTAGTCAATGTGCTAAGAAGCAAATTCAAGTCAGCATTCAGTTATTTCAATGTCTTAATACCTGAAAAATGCAGTTCATTGAGTACAATGCCATGATCCAAATGGTAAAACTGACATTTATTCAGAAAGAAATTTGTTTAATTGTTGAACTGAAAGGAATTGCCTGTCTTTTAGGAATAACTGAAAACCAAAAAGCTCCAAAGTATAATAGCCAACATACATATCTATATTTAAAATTTCCCATCTTGTATCTCATCTGTATACCAGCCTGCTATCCTCTCAAATTAATTGAAGATTTTATTATTGAGAGGTTTACTCTCCCTGCTGACATGCACATTAGAAAAAATCTTACACTTCAGTATATAAATTGATCCTAAAGTAGGGAAAGGCAAAGAGAAAAGTTCATTTCAGGTATATTGCTACATGGTTCATCTAGGGTTTTGACCTTTGCTTCACAGTATCACTTACTGGCTTACTGCTAAACACTGGATTAGGTGGAATAGTGGTTTATTCTAGTATGTCATCGGAATGCTTAAACATAATCTACTTTTCAAAAGACATTCTCCAGTTTTATGTATGGCATGTACAGTAGTAGCATAATGCATTATTAAAGTTCAGACCAAAAAAAATGTATTTCCATGAAGAAGCAATTTGTAATAACTGTAGGAAAAATTCTTCTGCTCTCTACACAGAAGCAAATCAGAAAAGAACCTGGATGTATGTAACTCATTTTCTTCCCATTGTGTTTGTCCATTAAGCAGATGAAGTGCACACTTCCCATGCTGTTCCATTCATACAACCCAGTGTTCATTCAGAAACAGAACATTTCCTTTAGTTGATGGATTAAAGGCAGGAGAGGGGGAGGTGTGTAAAAATGTTTTGGGATGTGCAATACTTCAGGAACAACGTTTAAAGTTAATTCACACTTTTGTAGTTTGTACTGTATATTTTTACACAACTTCAAAACAACACAGTTGCTGCTTCTTAAATGAACAGAAGTAACTTTTAAAGAGCAAGACCTAATGCAGGTTTTTGTGCAAGTTAATGTCAGGTTATTTTTAAAACCAGTCTCATATTACACTTTCAATTCACTAAAAAAATTAAGTGAACACAATTTTTTTGCCCTGCCTTGACTGATCTTGCATTATATTTTGGTAAGTTGAAATATGAACCTAGGAATGTGTGTTAGTGACCTTAAAAAGAACAGCAAGTAAACTCTAAACAACTTTAAAGGTTATTGTTTGCTTTTCATCTTCACTTGCAGACCAGGTGTCTCTAGCAAAGCAAATCTGAGGAAAAGCTACTTTTTGTTGGAGGTTCTTTGTGAACAAAACAGATGACATTAAGAACAGGTGTTAAAATAGTGAAAAAAGCAAACAGCAATTATTTTACAGGATGTTTAGCTGTGGAACAGCTAGAAAAAAAAAATCAGGCTATTCTAAAGCATCTTATTTGAAAGTCTTTGCTCAAATAAAAGAAACATTTCTCTGTCTAGTAAATCATAATCTGCCTTTCAATCCCCCAAAGAACGGGTTAGAGATACTTATCCAATTCCTCTTAGAACTGATTTCCCAGGGACTAACAGGAAAAAGCATAGTTTTTACTAAATAAGGATGCTGGAATTTGTTTACCTGATGCCATTTATGATACTGTGTATGCCTACTTAAGTAGCATTTAGCATTGGAGTCTTGTGTGATTTTACTATTTATGTCAGGAAATTGCTTAGCAGCTGGGTAGATTGGACTGTTTTACTTTGTGTGTTTTTCATCTTGCATTGCACATCTGTTAATGTTGGTCTTAACACTACAATAGTGAGCATTGTAAATTAACAAGTATAATGGTAAGTAGGGATGTGGAGAGAAGTATGTTTGCCTTTTAGATTAAAAAAGCAAGAGCTACTTAACTGACATTATTTGGGTGTCTAAATTAAGCATCCTAAACCCATAAAGAGAGATTTAGAGTCCCACACTGGAGCCTTCAAGTGTATGCATTTTGGATTTAAGCTTCAAGGCTCATTTTCAGGTTGATGAAAACACTGTGTTGTCTACTTTGGAGTGTGACTT